CCCAAAGTTCAGCTCCACATCCGCATTTTGAGGAATTCTTTGGATCTCAGAAACTCACTTTAAAAAAATATATATATTTTCTTTTTTGAGAGAGAGAAAGAACACAAGCAGGGGGGAAGGGCAGAGGGAGGAGAAGCAGGCTCCTCACTGAGCAGAGAGCCCGATGTGGGGCTTAATCCCAGGACCCTGGGATCATGCCCTGAGCCAAAGGCAGACGCTCAACCAACTGAGCCACCCAGACGCCCCAAAGAGAAGATCTTTAAAGAGATGTTTAAGGGGCACCTGGGTGGCTCAGTGGTTGAGCATCTGCCTTCGGCTCAGGGCGTGATCCCAGGGTCCTGGGATTGAGTCTCCCACTGTGCTCCCTGCAGGGAGCCTGCTTCTCCCTCTGCCCATGTCTCTGCCTCTCTCTGTGTCTCTCATGAATAAATAAATAAAATCTTTAAAATAATAAATAAATAAATAAAAATAAATAAATAAATAAATAAATGTTAAAGTTAGATTAAGGTCACATGGGTGCTAATCCAATATAACTTGTGTGCCTGTAAGAAGAGGGAGTTAGGACACACACACACAGAGGAAGACCGTGCATGGACACACGGAGAGGATGGCCATCCCCAAGCCAAGGAGAGAGGCCTCAGAAGGAACCAAGTCTGCTGACATCTGGGACTTCCAGCCTCCAGAATGGAAATACATTTCTGTTGGTTACGCTCCCAGTGGGTGGTACTTGTTACAGCAGCCCTAGCCGACTGAGACTTCGATATAACACTAAACTATGAAAAAAAAAGCTGAGACGCGCAAGAGTGATGACTAAGCCAGCTGTGAGACCAGCTTCACAAGGTGGCATCTCGCTGGCACACGAGTTCCAACACAGCTACATGTGGTGTCTTAGCTTGAGGTTGATGAGCCTTCAAAGATGCACCTGAAAGATCTTCCAGCAAGTCAGATCCATCAGACCCTATGTCTTGTCGAGGGGAAGAGAAGGGAAGGTGTGACAGTGAGTGATTATTGCTGGCCCCAAGTGAACACCAGGGCAATTGCAAGTTCACACAGAAAGGAGTGAGCCTTCCCACAGACCTGGGCATGAACTTTGGGAAGGCCCCCTGGCCGGGTGTCCACTGTGTTGTCATTTCCTGCTGCAGTTACATTTTCTGGGTGGGCTCCAGAGATCCTGCTATTTCCTTAGTAAGAGAACTAGAAAACCACCCCGTGGGCCTCAAGGTCTCGGCGAAGGCCATCCCAAGGCCAAGTGTGGGCAGGCCTCGACTTCCCAGCCAAAAAGTAAAGTGCTAGGGGTCCCCACTGCCAAGAGCAGCCTAATTATCAAAATAAACACACGTTGTGAGGATTCATTAGCTTCAGTTTCAGTGTTAAACAATAGCTAAAAAAAATAAAAATGAAATGGTTGAGTATCATGTTATCAGATGTATTGGGTGTGGAGGATGGTTTGCCAGGAAGAGAGGGTGCGCAGAAAATCAGCCTCAGGGGGAGATAATGGCTTGGAAATAAATCCTGCGAACAGTTCGGAGCTCAGTGTCAACAAGGATATGGTCGGTCAGACCTGAGTCAGACCTGAATTACCTTGGGCCCCTTCCTGAAAACACACTGTGGGTTTCACTCTGACCAAGATAAACTCTTTTGCTCCCAGGGTAATTTAAGAGTGAGAAGCACACCTCTGTAAATCACGCTCGTCACAACCTCTTGGGTCAAAGAGGGTTGTGGTCTTATAAATGAGATGGATTTCTTTTTCCTCTCTGCATTAGTCTTAAAGAATATGGTCAGGCACACGTCCTAAGAAAATATAAGGTTCCCCAGGGCACTCGTACAATTCTGGCAGGAGTGTGAATCAGGAGAACTCTTCTGGATAACACTTTGGTGGTGTGTATCAAAAGCCTTAATATTTTGGGACGCCTGGGTGGCTCCGTGGTTGAGCATCTGCCTTCAGCCCAGGGTGTGATCTCAGGGTCCTGGGATTGAGTCCCGCATTGGGCTCTCCGCAGGGAGCCTGCTTCTCCCTCAGTCTATGTCTCTGCCTCTCTGTGTGTCTCTCATGAATAAATAAATAAAAATATTTTTTTAAAAATCCTTAATATTTTGAATAGCCTTTGACAAAGCAATCTACTTCCAAGAATTCCTGTGGAAACTATCATGCTTGTTGTGTAGATATTTAGCTCTTGGCATGTTCCACATAGAACTTTTTTTTTTTAATCTATCTATCTACCTATTTATCTATTTGAGAGTAGGAGAGAATGCAACGTGGAGGGGGAGGGGCAGAGGGAGAGAGAGAGAATCTCCAGCAAACTCCCCGCTGAGCATGGGCTTGATCCCAGGACCCTGATCAGGACCTGAGCTGAAATCGAGTCCGATGCTTAAGTGACTGAGCCACTCAGGTGCCCCCCAACATAGAACTGCTTCTAATGTTTAAAACCAGAAATCCCCTGAATGATGATTGCATTGGGTTTTGTAAATAGAGCTGGTGCATCCATAAAATGGAGAATTATGCAAGTCTTTAAAATTATATTCATGTTAAAATTTGCACAGCTATGTTAAATGGGAAAAAAGTAGCATACGAAATATGTGTATGACACCATTGAGGGGGAAGGGCATTCACACAGGGAAAAGTGGCTAGAAGGAGGTTCCTTAAAGGTTAATCATTTTGAGGTGTTTTTTTTTTTCCCCGAATTTACTGGAAATTTTTATTTTTCTAGCTGTGGCTTATCTGTGCTTTTCAAGTTTTCAACTCTAAATGCGTATTTCCTTTGTAACAGAATAAACGCTAGTTATATCAGGCTTCTAAGAATAATTTCGTAATTCAGATGGCTACTTCTTCCCAATGCAGAAATCATACATCCCATTCTCAGATCTTGACTGTGAATTCTGAAGGAGTTGGGAAAAGGATTTGTGAGCCTATAGACTCTTGGGAGTGGAACTGCTGAGTCTGCAGATGAGAAATGTGCCGATTTAAAAGATGCCCATGCATGTTCCAGGGATGGTTTATACTCCCACCAGCCAAGTTCAAGGGTTTCCATTGATCCGTATCTTCTTCAACACTTGGGATTGTCAGTCTTTTAAGTTTTGCTGATCTAGAAAGTGCAAAATAATATTTTATTGTGGTCTTAATTTGTATTTCCCTCATTTGTGTATTATAGAAACAATTATATATCTTATTATAATACATATATTACATATACGATAAATAGCCTATGCCGCAGAGTCATTGGAAACACCGCATCAGTTGACGTACAAGTGCCAACAACGGCTGTCATAATGTTGTTAGGTGTTGTTATAAGTGAACCGACCTTTTTAAGGTCTCTAAAATTCTCTCCTCTGTGCTCTGCTCTTCAAGCTTTTATTTCCTTCCAGTGTGTACTATTTTTTAAAAGATTTTACTCATTCATTCATTCATTCTTCATTCATTTAGAGAGAGTGGGGGAGGGGCAGAGGAAGAGAGAGAGCATCTCCAGCAGACTCCCCGTTGAGTGCGGAGCCCCAACAAGGCTCAGTCCACGACCCTGAGATGGTGACCTGAGCCAAAACGAAGAGTCAGGTGCTCAACCCGTGGAGCCGCCCAGGCGCCCTGCCCAGTGTGTATTATTAAAATTTCCTCCAAATGGAGTTTGGTTCTCTTTCTCTCCCAGGGCCTCCCGTGCACTGACCCTAAAGGTCAGTGGCACCAGCCATTCCTTTGGGATGCAGAATAGAATCTGTCTTTGGCTGAGCATGCATAGGCAAACTCAGGCTCTCTCTCCAGGTGCCTTTTCCCCTCGTTCTCTGTGGCTTCCCCGTCCGCACCCACTGTTCCAGCTCACAGTTGACCCCCTAGACTCCGCCTAAGTGATGCTAGCCCACTTACTGTGGTGTTTCTGCCTCTCTGTCTTGCTTGCCTCTACCCAATTCATGCACTTTCCCCCGTGACCGAGTCCCTCTGCCCCATAAAGCCTGTCGTGACCACTGTGGTCCATGCCCATCACTCCCGTCTCTGACCCCAGCACCTCTTGTCCTGGCCACATACTGCTGACACTCACCCCCTGTTTCACATTGTCAGACATCAGGTCCCACATGTGGGTTTTGTCTCCAGCTCCAGCGCACCCTGCGAATCCAAGGTAGACTTCTTCTGACTTGTTTTTCCTGACAGCACATGGCACCCCTTGTGCCTCACCTCTGTACATGTTAGATTAATGTTTGCTCATTGTGATGGCATTGTGGCAGGTGCTGAAAAACATGTCCTCATGTCTCTTAGTTTATCTCATTCATTCATTCATCATTATTTTCTGGGTTTCTGCACCTGGCCAGGATGTGGGAATTAGATGACAAACAAGATGGAAAGAGTCCCTGTCCTCTTGGAGCTTCTGTTCACGTAGGGGTGATGGATTCTCAAAATAGACAAGTAGGGGTGCCTGGGTGGCTCAGTCAATTAAGCAAGCGTCTGACTCTTGATTTCAGGTCGTGATCTCAGGGTCTTAAGATCAAGCCCCACTGATCTGGCTCCATGAGCAGCATAGATCCTGCTTAAGATTTTCTCTCTTCTCCCTCTGTACCTCCCCTCCGCTCGCATGCTCTCTCCAAAGTAAACAAAAACAAACAAACAAATAAAAATATTTTAAGGAGTGGTAAGAAGCATAAAAAATAAAAATCTTCATATTTTGCCTATTCTGTACGCAGGGCTAGTTATATAATTTGCGGGGCTTGATGGAGAATGAAAATGTAGGACCCCTTGCTCAAAGATATGTGAGAATTTCCAGATGGTGACAGCAGGGCATCAGCCTAGGCTCAGGGCTGTCCTAGCACATGTCAGGAGGCCCACTCTGCCTGTATGGTACTTAGCCCATATGATAAAGCATCTTGAGTATTTTAATGAGACAGAAAATGATCCCAGAAACTATCTCCATGAGCTCTGAAATCCAGCTCAGTGTTGTTACTTACGTAAAGTAGCATAAGCTACACGGTAGCCAGATACAGATGCAACATAAAATTTCTTGTTGACGTTGCCTGCCTTTCAGACTGCTTGTCTTACTCGGCTTTGCAAGTATTATCCAGGAGGTGCTATGGGAAGCAGAGATGCAAAATCACGGTCAACAATCACCATTTCGGGAGCCCCTGTCTACCAGGAGTGAAAAAATACCTCACTGTCACCTATGCTTGTGGTAAGAAACTGCTCGAAGTTCGTTGCCTCTTTGGGAGGTGATGACCATGGGAACAAAAGGCATTTTAATGCGACAAACCAAACGATGCTACTCCTGAAACTGTGTTTGTCTTACACAGTATCCAACAGTACCTTTTAAAATCCTTTATTTCTGTGTACGGGGTTCACATTAGATAAGCAATATGAGTTCTTCGGTCAAAATTTGTCTTAAAAGGTCTTTTAGCCATCAGGTTGGCAGCAAATGGGAAGAGTAGGAAAATAATAAGCAGGGGCAGCCCAGGTGGCTCAGCGGTTTAGCACCGCCTTCGGCCCAGGGCCTGATCCTGAAGACCCGGAATCAAGTCCCGCGTCGGGCTCCCTGCATGGAGCCTGCTTCTCCCTCTGCCTCTCTCTCTCTCTTTCTCTTTCTCTATGTCTCTTCTGAATACATAAAAAAATCTTAAAAAAAAAAAAAAGAAAAGAACAAGCAAATGAGAGAAGAGTGATTTTAATCTGGGTGCTTAGGAGGCTCTGAAATTTACAGGGCGTGTTATGCAAGCTCACAGAAGTGTTGTATGGCTCCTGGTTAACCTTGCAGCCTTGGTTTGAGGCTCTAAATGACTAACTCTCTCTGCTGCCAACAACCATTTTATCTGCATATCCACAGCAGTGAGTCAACGGATCAAATGCTCCCCCGAAAACAATTAAAAATGTTACACGACAGCATGACTTGGTTCTCCCAGTGTCGTCAAACAAAAAAATGAAATGCCTGGTTCATTAGAGCCCAAGTTTAGAGAGCTACCTAAAAGTGAGTCGGCACTAATTAGTCTCTGAGGTACCGTGGATTTCTGGTTGGTGGGCCTGACATGTGGACCGTTGATATTGAAATGATCATAGGAGCAAAAGGAGAGCAAAGAGAACCGTATCCAAAAAAAAAAAAAAAAAAAAACACCCCAAAAAAACGATGTCTGTGCTGGTGGAAACCGCTCCTCCTCCCAGATATCCCCATTTTTTTCTTTTGGTAGCAGCTTGATTGAGATGTAATTCACAGGTCACCCGGTGCACCTGTTACAGCACACAAATCAAAGGTTTTAGAATTGGATTCCAGAATTTAATTTCATTCACAGGATGTGCCCCCATCACCGCAGTTAACTTAAGAACATTCTCATCATCCCCCAAATAAATCTCACGCACTTTAGCTGTCGGCATCTGTCCACTTCTACCTCCCCACCCCAGGCAACCATCAGTATGCCCTCAGGCTTTAGGATTTGCCTCTTAAACAGCTGATAGAAGTGGAATCATGCAGTATGTGGTTTTTGGGGGCCGGGGCTTCTTTACGTAGTGTTTCTGAGGTACATCCATGTTGTCTCTTGTGTCAGTACTTCCTTCCTTTTTGTGGTCTAATAATATACTGATGCACCCCCAGCCTTTTATATCCTGAGCTAAAAATGTTGTCCTCTGTGATATCAGGGCTGTAACCAGTACAACAAAGGGGGCTGCATAAATGCATTTCCAAAATAATAGCACCTATTCTGGCACTGCAGGAAGTGTGGTTTTACTTTCCTTCTTGGACTTCCTTCCTGCTCCCATGCCCAAGCAGCTCTGGGCCTCATCGAGCGTATTCTGGCTGGGGTTCCCACGAGAAGCCACACAGATCACTCTGAAGTTCTAGTAACATCCAGCCTCCCCAGCTGAGTGTTGGAGTGTAGCCTGCAAAGAGGTGAATTTCCTGGTGTTCCTGCAAGAATGAGGGGACAGCCCCTAGGGCTGGGGCTCTTTTTTTTTTTTAAGATTTTATTTATTTATTCATGAGACACACAGGGAGAGAGAGAGAGGCAGAGAGAGAGAGAGAGAGGCAGAGGGAGAAGAAAGCTCCATTCAGGGAGCCTGATGTGGGACTCGATCCTGGGTCTCCAGGATCAGGCCCTGGGCTGAAGATGATGCTAAACCGCTGAGCCACCTGGGCTGCCCTATTTTTCTTTTTAAAAAAGATTTTATTTATTTATTCATGAGAGACACAGAGAGAGGCAGAGGCACAGGCAGAGGGGAAAAGCAAGCTCCCCGTGGGGAGCCCGATGTGGAACTAGATCCCAGGACCCCAGGATCACGACCTGAGCCAAAGGCAGATGCTCAACCACTGAGCCACCCAGGTGCCCCTGGGGCTCTTCTTAGCTGAGAGAGGGTGGGATCTCAGGGCCTAGAGGTCCTGCTTCAGTTCATGCTTCTTCTCCTTCATTCATTCATTCAGCATGCTGTGGGCAGGTGCTCTGTGTCCATGTGGCATCAGTGCCAAGAATTGGGTAGTTAGGAAAAAAAAAGGCATGGTCCTTGTCCTTGGAATTATCAGTTGAGGGCGAAAGATGGATGCTAAACAAACACACAGGTAAATCTGGCAGGTAGGTCTGTGCAGTCATCGAGGCATGGAGTAGATAGAGAAGTGCAGAGCTGGTGAGGTCAAGGTGGCATGAAGTAGCACCAGAATGGCCAGGACCCAGTCTTGTGGGGTCCTGGGTGGAGGTGCAAGTGGAGGGCTTGCAGTGGAAAAATCAGCCCACCATGGTGACTGGACTTTTTTTTTTTTTTACTTTTATTTATTTATTCGTGAGAGACACAGAGAGAGGCAGAGACACAGGCAGAGAGAAAAGCAGGCTCCCTGCGGGGAGCCTGATGTAGGACTCGATCCCAGGACCCTGGTATCACAACCTGAGCTGAAGGCAGACGCTCAAACACTGAGTCACCCAGGTGCCCGAGCAGACACTTCCTAATCACCTTCTAAGTGGTTGATGTTTTAAAACTATACTCTCCTTCACCCCTGGCCAGATGGCTCTTCACTGTGTAACCTGAATCATTAAAACGCAATTTGCAATGTCTGAATATTTTCTAGGTCACCAAATGGGAATGCGGGGTTTTACATTTTTAAAAAATTTCTCCCACCCGATGTGGAAGACCGAGGATGTCAATAGTTTCTGAGTGAATCTGCCCTAGTTAGCACTCTTTGGCTGTGAGTGAAGAAACCAATTTGAGCTGGTTTAAGTCAAAAGGGTGTTAGATGGGTGGGTAACAGGTGGCAGGAAGGCCATGGAAGCCAGGACAGGACAGCAAGTCCTCAGGGAAGGGCTGACACCCGAAGCTCCAAGGTCATGGCAAACCTCTGGCATCTCTGCTCTCATGGCTCTTCTGCTTCCTTATTCTCTCTCTCTCTCTCTCTCTCTCTCTATCTCTATCTCTATCTCTATCTCTCTCTCCTGTACACAGCATCCCTGTGAGCCTGAGCTGGATGGCACCAGGCCACCCCCTCATATGTCCCATTTCTAACAATCATGGAGACGTGCAGTCTGACCATCTTAATTCCAAATTTCTACCAGAAAGATATTTAATTGGCTGGGCTGGGTCAGGTAAGCCCCCCTCTTTTTGATCTGCCCTGGCCGGAGACCATGTGACATGGCTTCCTAGAGAGGGCCCCAACCAAACCTCTACCCAAGTCAAGATGCTCCTACGTAAGAGGGTCAGGGAAGAACCACCCCATAGATGTCTACTCCAATACCCTGCTTCTAACCCTAGCAGCTGGTCCAGATTTGCTGTTCAACCCAGATTTGCTGTTCCCCTATGTCCACACAGGGAAGAGGACACCCCGCTCCAAGGGGGGGGGGGCAGAGGTGCATTAGGAACAAGTACTGAACATCAAGCTCTAGGTCCTTTTTTTTTTTTTTTAAAGATTTTACTTATTTATCCATAAGAGACAGAGAGAGGGAGAAGCAGGCTCCATGCAGGGAGCCTGACGTGGGACTCAATCCTGGGTCTCCAGGATCACGCCCTGGGCTGAAGGCGGCGCTAAAACCGCTGAGCCACCCGGGCTGCCCTGGTCCTCATTTCTATAGAAACACATGCCATCCGTCTCTAGTGTGACCCAGGCAGTGGGGCAGGGATGCCTCACCCACAGTAACCCTGATTGCGCCTTATGGTGGGGGGGGCAGAGGAAATTACAGTGGGCAGTATGATCTCTGCTTTGGGGACTTGGGGGACTAGGAGGGCTTCCTGCAGGAGGTGGCATTAGAAGCAAGTGAGACCACATGGGTGGGGGTCAGCAAAGTGAAGGCAGGGGGAGAGGAGGGCAGGTTAGGCTTTTAGCCAAGGGCGGTGGAGAGCCCTGGACAAGTGGTCTCAGGGGACATAATCAGTTTGCATTTTAAAAAAACACTCCGGGGGATCCGTGGGTGGCTCAGCAGTTTGGTGCCTGCCTTCGGCCCAGGGTGTGATCCTGGAGTCCTGGGACCGAGTCCCGCGTCGGGCTTCCTACAGGGAGCCTGCTTCTCCCTCTGCCTCTGTCTCTGCTTCTCTCTCTCTTTGTGTCTCTCATGAATAAATGAATAAAATATTTTTTAAAAAAAAGTAAAAAAGAACCTTCCTCCCTATTTTATAGAGCTTCATTTAATCCTGGCTCTCTCTCCCACCAGGTGCTTAGGCAGGGCAGAGGATTTCCGCATCTCTGCGGAGCCCTGGGGCGTGATTCAGGCTGTGGGCCTCTTGCTCTTCCCACTGCAGGCTGCACGTCTGGCAAATGTCAGACCGCTCAGCGCAGGGCACACCGACCCGGCTGGGATGCATCACTGCACTGCTCCTCTTCAGCGGTTTGCTAAATGAGGTCCCCTCTCTGTGTGTGTTCCCTCCAAGCTTAACCACGAGCCTCACTTCTTGGACATGCTGGCTTCAGACTTTCCTCCTAATAGATAAGCCAGACCAGGAAAACTCAGCTCCGCCCCTCATATCTGCAGGGAGGGCTCGTCTCCGTGTCCACAGCCGCTAGTACTCCAGGGTCACCAAGGCAGAGGCACGGCCAGCATCCCCACCCTGGTCACTCCTGAGAGGCACAGAAACACGACCTCAGCCTAGGGCCTCCCAGCTCCTCCCAGGAGAGGGGGCAGACAGGTGGGTGCCAGGATTGGCAGATGGGAAGGATGGTGGTCCCAAGATTTAGGGCCAAGGGGAACAGGTGCCAGGATTTGGGGGCAAGGGGAATGGGTGCCAGGATTTGGGGAGAAGAGGGATGTAGTAACAGAATTTGGGAGACAAGAGGGATGCGGTGCCAGGGTGTGAGGGCACTGAGATAGGAGGTGCCAGAATTAAGGACAGGCAGGATGGGGATGTGCCAGGATTTGCAGGTGCTCATGCAGTCTGGGCTCCTCCTGAAAAGGAGGGGAAGTCAAGCAGAGACATCGTGTTTGTCCCTGATATGAAGAATCCTTTGGGGCGCTACGTTCAACCTGTGGAAACTTCTTTCTTAACATCTGCACTGACCCACGCTTGGCACAGAAGATTTATATGGGGGCCGGGGGAGTAGAAAAGAAAAGAAGTCGAGGTGGGTGCCTTGCCCCAATTCAGCGAATCACCTCTGGTTTTACCTAAACAGACTCGCAGGGACAGATTTCCGAGTGGAAATCACTTTGTCATCTTTCTGATCCTCTATCCAGTTCCCGAAAGGCTGAGCGTCCCATGGACCCCACAGCATCAGGGAAAGATCGAGGCCACGTGTGCGCAAGACCAGGCGCGGAGGGGCCACGTCTTCCTAGGGGAGCGGTGCGTCTCGGAGCCTCAGTTGTCCCGTCTGCAGGAATGGGGATGCTACACAGCTTCACAGGGGCCCCGTGGACACTGCACAAAATGTCCTGTTTAAGCCTGAGCCAGGGGCCCGACGTATGGAGAGCTCCATGAATAATGGTTCGCTGGTCTTTTTACAAACGCATCTAAAAATGGAGAAAATAAAAAAATAAAAAATAAATAAAAAATAAAAATGGAGAGAGGCAGGTCTGAGGGGTGGTAGTAAATTGTGCCCCAGCCCCATCTTCAACCTTGAAACAAGGAGATGGAGGAATCTGACAGGTGCGCTGAAACCTGTTATTTTCAAGTTCTTAGAGATTCTCCCCCAAGCAGGGCCGTTTGCTGACATGAGCCTGCATCCCACCCGGCAATGGGATGTCTGATAAGGGCCTGGTTATTCTGCAAAGCTCGTCTACACTGTCCTTCCTCTCTGAGCTCTTCCTCTTTCCCAGACCGTAAGGCCTCTGGCATCTGCAGCGAGTCCAGCCGGTGCAGGCTGCATCCTGACAACAAGCCAGGGGACAGGTGTGAAAGCGGTGCCACCCTGGCAGGAGAGCTTGCTCCTGCCGAGGAATCAGGGTGCAGAGCCCTTCTCGGGGTGCAGAATGACCAAGAGGCTGCTTCATCAGAAAGCATTTTGTGGCAACACGGTTTCAGCTCTCTGGGGGCGCTGCCCTGGTCCCAGAATCAGTGATGTGCTGGGCTCAGCCGAGGGGTGTCCCTCGGGGTCGCTGGACAGCTTCCACCCCTCCCGTCACCATCACCTTACAGCCCTGAGTGTGACTCTCCCTGCCGATGGGCACGAAGGCACCAGGGTCTCCGTGCACGGCAGGTGCACCATTTAGGAGTGCTCTCTGGTTATTGATCCTGGGACACCCCCGAAAGAATTTAGTTTGAAAAAGGAAATGAGGTTTTCTTGCTGCGGAAGGTGTCTTATCAGCTCTTTTTAAAAATTCAGTTCAGCTGAACTTGCGAGGTGTGTGTTGGCTCACTGTTTCCTGTTGCCACTTCTCCAGATACCAGCTGGGCTAAAGAACAAACAAAAATAAACGATATTCTGCAGCAAAAATATTTGGTTTCCTACCCCTTCTCCTGTCTGGCTGTGGTGCACTTCACCTTCAGAATTCTTTTTTTTTTTAAGATTTATTTATTTAGTCATTATATATATATATACATATATATATATATATATACAGAGAGAGAGAGAGGCAGAGACACAGGCAGGGGGAGAAGCAGGCTCCATGCAGGGAGCCCGACACGGGACTCGATCCCGGGACTCCAGGATCACGCTCTGGGCCAAAGGCAGGCGCCAAACCACTGAGCCACCCAGGGATCCCCCCCCTTTTTTTTTAAGATTTTATTTATTTATTCATGAGACACACACACACAGGCAGAGACACAGGCAGAGGGAAAAGCAGGCTCTATGCAGGAACCCCATGTGGAACTTGATCCCAGGACCCCAGGATCATGCCCTGGGCTGAAGGCAGGCCCTAAACCGCTGAGCCCCCCAGGGATCCCCCCTTCAGAATTCTTGCTTTGCCCTCCGCTTGCTACCATCCCATCCACTTTACCAGGGGCATCTTGAGATGAGATGGCTTATTCTTTAGGTCCGTTTGCTAGAATCTTTAACCATCTCCCCAAAGTGTCTTTTACTCTGCCCTCTTCTCATCTTTCTGTTGCTCTTAAAATACTTAGAGCGTCATTCTTGCACGCAGCCCTGGAATTCTCTTCAGGCCCATTAAGGAAGCGAGGACTCAGAGCTGTGGGTGCAAAGAAAAGTTGGATCCAGGAAACGTCTGCGGTGGATCCTCAGTTGATTACAGTCCTTTTGTTTCACTGTATCTCAGGGAAGTTTATGCTCAGAGTTACAGCGTTGTTGGTTTTTTTAAATGTTATTTAGAGACAGAGAGAACTTCAGAGTGTGGTGGGGGCCCACTCCGCGCTGACCGCAGAGCCCCACGCAGGGCTCGATCTCATGACCCTGAGATCATGACCTGAGCTGAAACCAAGAGTCAGACACTCAACCGAATGAGCCACCCAGGCGCCCCTAAAGTTAATAGTGTTATTTGAGCTGTGATTTACATGTCCTAAGGTTCACCCATATTTAGCAAAAACAATCAACGAGTTCTAGTAAATTTACAGAGCTAGCTGCACGATGGCCACTTAATTGTAAAACCCATCCGTAATCCCCAAAGTTCTCTGATACCCATGTGCAGTCATTCCCCATCTCCACCCCTGACTCTAGGGAAGCACTAACTTATATTCTGTCTCTATGCATTTACCTGTTTTGCATATTTCATATTAATGGGATCACACCACGTATGGTCTTTTGTGTCTGGCTCCTTTCACTGAGCATAATGTTTTTGAGGTTTATCCATGTTGTAGCAGGTGCTAGGACTTTGTTCTTTGTTATTGCTAATTATTCTATTGGGTAGATATACCGTATCTTGTTTACTTGTTCTCCAAAATTTTACCTTTCTGGGACATTTGATGCTCACAGAGTTACCATTCATATATGTGTGTGAGTGTATCTGACAAGCAGAGTGAGTAATTTATGTACTGATTTGAAAATGGATGTTTAAAAAATCTTATCCTCATTGCACTTAAAAAAAAATATGTTAAGGGGCACCTGGGTGGCTCAGTGGTTGAGCAGCTGCCTTTGGCTCAGGGTGTGATCCTGGGGTCCTGGAATCAAGTCCTGCATCAGGCTCCCCATGGGATGCCTGCTTCTTCCTCTGCCTATGTCTTTGCCTCTCTCTCTGTGTTTCTCATGAATAAGTAAATAAAATCTTTATTTATATCATATATATATATATATAATGTACAATGTATTTAAAATATTTCTCTTTTCTGTTTTTAGTTCCCAAGAACATACTCACAGCGATCGATCCAGCCATTGTTAATCTAAAACCTTCTTTGAAGCAGAAAGATGGTGAATATGGTAATTTTTATGGCTTACTACCAGCATTTCTCTTTAAGTAAAGGTAAACAGCCCCACGTGACCATAGTCGGGTGCCCAGTGGTTGGAATGAAAGGGGATGTCAGGAGGTGAGCTGGACTTACCAGCTCCGACAACGGCAGTGCTGTGGCGATCAGTTGCAAATGGTGGCCGACTGTGTTGCTTTTCAAATTATAAGTGAAATAAATCCTCCTTCCATTCCCCTCTGATTTCTTAAACAAAATATCACTTGGAAAAGGAGATCTGCTCAGAAACAGATTTGGGGCTCCTGGATTATATGATGATCTTGTTGGAAAGAAGACTCCACTGGGAACCTGGGTGAGCCAGACCCAGGCTGGACCTGAGGGCTTCCAAACACATGCCACCTCCACCCTCGGTTTTCACTGGGCTCTTGTGAATAGGAGGGGGATGAACATTTTGGTGTGTTAGTGTGTGTTTTTTTTTTAATCAAATCTAGAATGGAATTCAGACCCTTGGGGCTCCTGATGGAAATTCCCAGGTTTCTGTAGAACTTCTAAGATATTGCACTTAGTGTGTTCAGAGGTTGTTTTATGTTACTTTTATTACATATTTGAGGTCTTTGGGCCCTAAGTATAAGATTAAATATTCTTGACGTGGAAAATAAGAAAGCAGCAAGAAATAGAACTCGCCCCTCATCTCAAAGCTTGGCGATAACTATTGTTAATGCTCTGTTAATGTTCTGGTTCCCCCCAAGCCTGCTCTCTGCCAGCCCTGCTGCTCTTTCTAACAGGGTTCCCCCCTCGACCCCATGAATATCCTGGTCCCCCAGCAGTGGAGGCCCAAGAGCTCTGGGCCACCTTTTCTTAGACCTGTATGATATCCCATGGGGCCCCCAGAATTTTCAGGCTGCCCATCAGGAGCTCACTAAGCTCTAGCACAGCAATGTAACCAGGCATCTGAAACCAGACCTGCCCTGCATTTTGCTGTTATTTCCAAAAAAGTAGCCCTGCACAATCTCCCTCCATAATGTCCCCTCCCATCTCATCGATGGTCAATAGCACACACAGAAGCTCTGTGATTAGGTAAACCATTATCATGCCTCCCAGAGGTATGATGAGTCTGTTGCTCTTAGGATGGGAAAATCCATTTGTCCCCTTCTGTAGTAGGGTGGATGAGTGGCCCTTGAAGTTGGAACCAGCACATTTTAGAAATTCTAAATCCCTGGTATTATTTAATATTTTCAAAGACTATTTACTAAATGCTTTTCCTGGCTTAGCCTTCTGTAATTCAGTCAGAGGCCCATTTATTTGATTTTTATGACTTTTTATTTATTATGGCAGTCCTGGGCTGGGAGCAGAAGGCATACTGTGAACAGTTGTCATTAATCGGTTTTGCGTTTTGTTATGAAACAGGTATAAACTTTGACCCAAGGGAACCGACGCTTCTGAGGAAAGATGGAGTTATTGTTAGCAATTCTCTGGCAGCATTTGCTTACATTAGAGGTAGGTCAATGGATCGAAGTTCCTAGAATGCTAACGGCTTTACTGAGGTCTTACTAACAGATGTGATGCTTCATTATAACAGCTGAAGAAAAATGACCTTAAGTTTGACTCAGCAGCTGGGGGCTTGCTAAGATCTGGGAACACAGAGGCCTGGACTCAGATACAGTTCCAGCCAGGCTACACACGAGAGAACACACATGGGGAGGAGGCAAACAGATAAAGTCACACGCCCAGGAGTTGGGTTCCATGAGTATTTTCTGCTTTGAAAAGTAGGAACCTGAGGAATGCATTCCCCAGCTCTCAAAATTTGGGAAGGGCAGAGGATTATTGAATCCCACCCTTGGCTGGAAGAAAATGGAGTTAAAAGATCACTTAGTAAACAAAATGGGTCATGCTCTGCGAAGGCAGCATCCCCTCCTGAGTCACCAGCATTACTTCTCACAGTTGCCAAGTTTTCCCTGATAATCCTCCCCCCAAGGATCAGTCAGATGCAGCCCTCCTTACCTGCAGGGCCAGAACTGCTCGTCAGTGAGGGGATGGCATCTACCATCTTTCCTCACCTGCCCTGTCTGCTCACTTTAGCGTAGACCGGATTTTTGAAGTGTCGACTCTGCAAGTTTTGGCAATGCACGCCTGACTCTGTTCAGGGAGGCCAAAACCTCTGGGGCCTTTGGTTAGATTGGTACTAATATACTGCATTATGGCATTACTGCTCATGGCGTGCCAGGGCCTTCCTCAGAGGAAAATAAAGGTGTAAGGAAACAGCCCAACACAGGAAATCGAAAGTCTTGGGATCCTCTACGCTTCCATCGTCTTCCCGCATCCATAGTCTTCCTGTTTGTGGTGTCGTTGTTGGCTTCCCCTAAAAATCTAAAAATTTGAAGGGAGAACCCTTCAAATCACTTCAAGCACACTTCGATTTGTTGCTGTTCCTGATAACATGCATGAGGTCTTTCCCTTCCTTAAGTATAAAAGTGGAGTGTGCCTGAGGTAGAAGACACAGGAAGGAGGCAAGAAATAGAACTCCCCCCTCATCTCAAGGCTTAAACATAACCATTGTTAATGTTCTATTCTTCTGGTTCCCCCACACCTGCTCTCTGGCAGGCTCTGCATCTCCCAGCCCACCACTCTTTCTAACAGGGCTCCCCACTCTGGACCCCATGAATATCCTGGTCACCCAGCAGTGGAGGCCCAAGAGCTCTGTGCCACTCTTGTCAGAGTTCAGAGATGTAAGGATTTTTATTGTCGAAAATAACCCCATATTTTCAAAGTCCCTGGATTGCCCCCTGGAGGAGAAGCATCATGAACATCCTCCAGGGAATAATGATTAACCAGAAGCAAAGATGAATTTGCTCGTTGAGCTGTGGCCATGCTGGGCCTCATCAGTTCTTCTTGACAACTGGGTTGGTCAGCTTGGGCCGCCATGACAAGACACTGTAGGCTGGCAGCTTCAACAGCAGAAATTCATTTTCTCACCGTTCTGGAGGCTAGAAATCAAGGTACCAGCAGAGTCAGTTTCTGGTGAGAGTTCTCTTCCTGGTTTCTAGACAGCTGCCTTCTCATATGAGAGGGAGAAAGAGAAATAGAGAGACAGAGACAGAGGAGGGGGAAAGAGAGATTAAGGGAGGAAGGGAGAGAGAGGAAGAGAGAAGGACGGAGGGAGGGAAGAAAGGAAGGAGGGGGAAATAGGGAGAGAAAGAATGCTCTCTGGCATCCCTTCTTATCTTTTGAAAAATTATTTATTCATGAGAGACACACACACAGAGAGAGAGAGAGAGAGAGAGAGAGAGGCAGACACAGGCAGAGGGAGAAGCAGGCTCCATGCAGGGAACCTGATGTGGGACTCGATCCCAGGGCCCTAGGATCACACCCTGAGCCAAAGGCAGATGCTTAACTGCTGAGCCACCCAGGCATCCCATCCAGCATCCCTTCTTATAAAGACACTGATCCTGCTGGATCAGGGACCCCCCTTAATGACCTCACTTAACCTGAATTACCTCCATATAGAGCCTATCTCCAAATATGTTGGGGGGTAAGCCTTCAACATATGAATTTGGGGGGGATGCAATCTAGTCCATAGCAAAGACCCTGAGCAAGAGGACTCTGTTCTCCCATTCTGCACATAGAGAAGCTAAGAGTCCTAGGAGTTGAGCCATTTGCCTGAGGCCACAGTGTGGATGCCAGCCGGGCCACGATTCAGACTCAGCAGATCCAAGACCCCTGCTCTGGTTTCTCTGACAAAGGATGCCCTTCAGGATCTTGAGGGATGGACATCATCTGAATTACTCCCTTCCATCCTTGGCAGTCCTTTTGCACACTCATTACTCCCAGAAATCATACAAAGGATTTATTCATTAGCACCCATCTCTCTGCTAGACATTAACATCTTAAGGGAAAATGTTTGTTCCTTAGTTATTTGTCACACCCAGGGCCCAGGACAGGCGGGCACAGGATGCATGCCCAGTTGGTAGCTAATAGATGAGTAGATGATGAATTTTCATGTGGTGTCATGAGCTGTCCTGCATCTTATTATCACCCCGTGTTTGCTATTTATAGGTAGTCAAAGAAATGCAAGGACTTCATAGCCTGTTACTTGGTTTTATTGAGGATTGATTAGGCACATCCATCCCCAAAAGGCATGAGGAGGAGGCTTGTCTGAAGAAGAAGCCACCACCAGGAGCAGCTGGAGCTGAGAGTGAGCAGGGCAGGTTCTGGAAAAATCAGCTTCATATTCAGTAGATTGGTGAATCCAAAAGGACATTTCCCCAGGTCAGGCTGCAAGTGGCTTTGACACATTGGCACTGTCACATACACATGGGGGACAAGTGGACTGGAAACCAAAACGAAGCAAGGAACTTGTCCCAGGATTTTAGAACACAGGGGTTGGCAAAAAGGAAGTGAGAATGGCCAGGGGTCTCTGACACCCATATTTCTCTTTTGGCCATTTCAGTGACCTGTACAGCTGTCCCCAATAGTGAGGCATTGTTTTAGCCATGTTTGAACTTTACCCTTATCCTAACCATGTAGACCTTGATCCTTCTAGAATCTAGATCATGGGTTTGAAGGAGCCCATAGAAAGATTCTGAAATTAGAGAAACAGAAAGGAGTGTGTGTGTGTGTGTGTGTGTGTGTGTGTGTGTGTGTTGGGTTTGGGGAAGGCAGCTTGTTAGCTGGCTCAGCTATCAGACCCTAGCAGACTGTGCTTAAGGAAGCTTATTTGGACAATCTTGCTCAGAACCTGACTCTCTCCACCTAATAAGTATTTCACCGACATCTGCTTGCTCTGTGTGTTTAGCCCACATCTACCTGCAAGCATGACTTTGGTGTCCTAATATTTCTGTCACTTGCCTCTAGTGCTGTCTTTGGCCCCCTGGGAGAGCTTGCTGTGGACTGTCTGGGTGCACGGGTTACCTGGGGTAACTAGGGTAGCTGGGGTCATGGGTCAGAAAGCAGAGCTTCTCCTGAGATGCGGAGGCATCGTTGTTTTATATGAAAGGAATTCTAGGCCACCAGACAAACCCACATTGAAATAGAAGCATAATAACACATTCCAAAGTCAGAGTTACATGATCCCCTGTCAGGGAGGATGATTGGAAATCAGCACCGCCTTGTCACATAGGTGTGGATTCTGATGTGTTCCCACGGTCTCTAATCTCTGGTTCCGTGACAGAAAGTTATGATCACATCCATCAGCACTGTCAGACCAGTGCCCAGTCTACTTTGTGCTTTCCCCCAATAGTAGCAGGGCCCCTGGAGGTGGAACCCTGGCCCTGGCCTCTCGGTGTCTTATTTGGACACAGTAAGTTAGAGCTGGAGCTCATGTTGGCTCCAGACCAGAGATCTAAGGGTCAAGGAGCCTTCAAGGCCACAGGCCTCCATTTAGAGAGGTTCCTGTGAGCTTACTACGGCTAATGAAATTAAAGTTGTTCAAGTAACCCTGTGATGAACCAGCTGAGGCTGGAGTGAAAACGCTATAGATAGCATAGTTTAAGATTCTGTTTAAGATTCTTTCTGGAATTCTGGGATCCCTGGGTGGCGCAGCGGTTTAGCGCCTGCCTTTGGCCCAGGGCGCGATCCTGGAGACCCGGGATCGAATCCCACGTCGGGCTCCCGGTGCATGGAGCCTGCTTCTCCCTCTGCCTGTGTCTCTGCCTCTCTCTCTCTCACTGTGTGCCTATCATAAATAAATAAAAATTTAAAAAAAAAATTAAAAAAAAAAAGATTCTTTCTGGAATTCTGTTTAAGATTCTATCTTTCTGGAATACATGATAGGAAAGGGGTTAGGAAAGCCTAAAGTGGTCCAATTGTTTCTGGAAAAACAGATGATGTGCCCCCAGTGTAAAGCAGGGGAGCTGTGCAGAGAGCCCGGGCACAAGCTCAAGGTCCCAGCCCCATAGTGGCTTTGGACAAGTGACACGGCTGCCTCAGGAGGGTCAGGCCCCTCACCTTCATTTTCCATCAAACTAAGACCTTGTGATTCTGTGGCCTCGAATGAGTTGAGTTCAGATGACTGGGAAGCCTTGCTCCAATGGGCTTTGCTAAGAGTTGCCGTGTTCTTCATCTTTGATCACTGGCTCTCATGGTGTAGACGTGGCCTAGAGATCGATCTCTTGGCAGGAGGCATACCTGAGCCAAGAGGCACCTAGAATCTGATACGTGAGAAGCTCTCCATGCAATACAATCCAGACCCTTACTTCCCAGGAGCAGAGGGAGAGAGGAAGAAAGCTAATGTACATTATGGAATCTCCACCCACAAGGCACCAAGCCCCGGACTTTAGATCCACAACCCCTCCTTCCATGCACTCAGCAGGTGTTTGTGTAATCCCTGCTCTACACTGGGTGCTGGGGATTTGGTCAAGAACAAGACAGTTGGGCCCCTGCCCTCATGGAGTTTTCATTCTATGGGATGAGAAAGGACAAAACATGCTCAGCGATTTGGTGACATTCCAGATGCTATGAGACCTACTGACAGGGGGACCTGACCCAACCTGGGGGTGGGGGCATAGAGGTCCAAACGAAAGAGGATAAAAGAATATTCCAGGCAGAAGGAACAGCACGTGCAAAAGAACCAAGGTGTGAAGCCATCTGGCTCTCCAGAATGGAGAGAGGCCCGTGTGGCAGGAAAACAGATGGAGGGAGGAATGTCTTTGGAGTTGAACTTGGGGAGGAGGGCAGGGATTGGGTCCTAGCAAGCTTTGTAGGCTATGGTCAAGATTTGATTTTTAGCTTATGAGAAGAGGGGAGCCTTTTAGTGGTGTCCAGTAGGGTGGTGATGTGGTCCAATGTGCATTTTTAAAAAAATTGCAGGGGCTACAGTGGGAAGATGCATGAAAGGGGCATGGGGTGGGGAGGAAATGGAGTAGGGCAGAGGTATCATTCCTGGTTTTCAGATAAGTTTATTCAATCGCAAGACATCTTAATGAAAATGAAAATTCAAGCCACTTGACAGGAGATATTCACAACATACAAACTGTCCAGTGGTTATTTTTAAGAATATATAGAGACTATATAGAATCTTTCTATAAGAGGAGAAGTGCAAACAACCCAACACAAAGAAAGGGGGGTACCTGACATGAGCCAGCATGCTGAGACGAGGGACTATGTAACCATCTGAAGAGGTAGACACCTGAAGGTGTAATGCAGGATCAGGGGAAATGAAACTCAAGACCCTAGTGAGATACGATGTTATACCCAGAAGACTAGAAAAAAACTAAAATCTGCTCCTAGCAGGTGCTCGAAGGAGATGTGGATTTGCAGGATTCCTCTGACGCTGCAGCCACTTTGGAAACCATTGGCCATATTTCCTAAAACTGACCTCCCTTAAACATCACCCAACTCCCTCCTAGGTCAGGACCCAAGAGAAACACCTGTATGTGCACATGAGGGACGTTTATAGGACTGGTGCCGGCTACGGCGCCCACATGGCAGGAACCTGACAATAAGCCAGATGCCCCGCCAGCAGGGGAGTGAATGAATAAAGCTACAGTAGAGTCAGGACAATGGACTAGTATAAGGCAACAGCATATTAAGTTAAAAACCCCAAAACATTAGGTCCCAAACAAGATCTGTGACGATATACTCTTTTCATAAATGTTTTTGGAATATATAGAGATGCAGTAAACTTATAAAGACACAAGCAAGGGGGTAATGACTGTGGAATTCAGAGGGTAGTTACCTTGTCGGAGGGAAGCTGGGAGGGGGAATGGACGGGCTGTTGTCAAGGCTCGAGAGGTGCCGATTATGGAATTCAAAATTATTCATTAAATAAACCAACATAAAGTAGGAGGACCGTGTAGTGACTGATGAGGAGGATGTGCCCTACCCTAAGGATTGTGATTAATTTAATTCAGTTCACCTAGAGTCATTAGAAAGGAAAGGAAGAAAGGAAGCAGGGAGGAAGGAAGGAGAAGGTAGCCTGCCTATCTGGGCAGAGCCAGATCTTGAGCCTTCCTCTGTCCCCGGCGGGTGAGGACCAGGTTGGCCCACTGCACAGCTGCTGGGAATGCCCGAGCTTCTCAGAGGATAGGAGGAACATGGGTGAGGATGGTTTCTCGGGAGCTAGACCATCATGGGAGTCTTTCCCTCTGGAGCTGGCCCTGTCCTGAACTGTGGGGGGCTGGAAAGAACACAGGTGGGACTCAGTTTCCCCACCCACAGTGCTACAGAGATGATGGCCGCAGGCATGGCTGTTGATGAGGCTCAAGGTTTATGTTCTCTGGGGGGGGCAGGAGGAGAGGGAAGTGGCTGCCTCCAAAGCCCACAGTAGGGTGCCCCAAGAGTGGGGAGATTGGGGAGGACAGAGGCTAGGAGGCTTGGGGCGGGTGGGGTGGGTGCAGCAGGGAGAAGAAGGGGACATCCAAAGAGACAAGAAGGGGGAGTGAAGTCAGGAGTGATGAGTCCACTCCCAGCGGAGGCTGTGATGTGTGGGCAGAGAAGGAGAAACATCTGTCTGGTTGCTTCAGAGCCTCTGGTCTTCCCATCATTTTGTGTTGTTGCTTAATGAGTTACTCCCACGTGTCAGCCTCATCCTCATTCCTCCTCCTCACCCAGAAAGGAAAACAGCCCTTCCTTGTCTCGCAAAGGATGCATGGCTGTGTTTGACCAGATCTTCAAAATACTGGACCCTTAGGAAAAACCTATCATTATTAGTAGCACTACAAACACACCTCGCTGCCCCTCCCCAAGACACATCCCTTTGAACTCAGACTTCTATGTCCTTTTCTTTTTTAAATATTTTATTTATGCATTCATGAAAGACACACACAGAGAGAGAGAGAGAGAGGCAGAGACACAGGCAGAGGGAGAAGCAGGCATGCCACGGGGAGCCCAATGCGGGATTCAATCCCAGGACCCCGGGATGATGCCCTGAGCCAAAGCCAGATGCTCAACCCCTGAGCCACCCAGGCATCTCCAACTCCTATTTTATATTTTGAGGGAGTATGCTGGATCATTATTTCCCAGAGAGGGAGTGCTCACCCCTTAAGGGGTGCATAATTAAAAAATGGGGAGAGTAATGCACAGTCCTTTCTGTGCTGGGTTAATATAAGGATTAAACCTATTAAGGACTTAGACCTGAGTATGTAATGTAGTACAAATTTGCATTGTTTCTATTATTATTATCATACCATCATTTGGATGTCAGAAAAACTACCAAAACTTTTATTTATATTTATTTTTTAGTCTAAAGAAAAGGAGCTTTGGGATGCCTGGGTGGCTCAGTGGTTGACGTGGCTCAGGGTGTGATCCTGGGTTCTGGGATTGAGTCCCACATCGGGCTCCTTGCGGGAAGCCTGCTTCTCCCTCTGCCTGTGTCTCTGCCTCTCTGTCTCTCATGAGTAAATAAATAAAATCTTTTAAAAAAAAGGGAGAAAGAAAAAGAGCTTTGTTAACATCTACTGTTTTAGTAATTACATAAATATATGTGTGTGTATATATATACTTTATCTATAAATTGATTTTTCACAATTTACTCCTGATGGCTAACAGTTTTTTGAGCATCTACCATGTGTCAGGAAACGTTCAGAGAGTGTTACAGGAATTAACAGTATAACAGGAAGCTGCTATTAGCTCCATTTTCCAGGTGGGGCGACTGAAGCACAGAGGGGTCATGTAACTTGGCCCGAATCACACAGCTAGTGAGTAGCACATCACAGTTTGCACTCCGGGGGTCCAGCCGCTGAGGCCCCCTGCCATGTGTCCTCTCATGTACATACCCACATTGACTATCTATGCTCAAAACCTTTTTTTTTTAAACTAATGAGGGTACAGGATCAGATAGATGAGGATGGTCTCAAAGACACTGCCTGGGACTGGCATTCTGCATTCGCTGCCGGTTCGGGCAGACCTCTGCTTCTGTGGGACTTTGGATTGGCGACATCTGACAGCTCCCCCCAGCTCCTGACCTGTCCTTTCCCCCACAGCCCACCCAGAAAGAGCAGCCCTGCTCTTCGTGTCCAGTGTCTGCATCGGTCTGGTGCTCACGTTGTGTGCCTTGGTCATCAGAGTGTCCTGCGTCAAGGACCTCAGGGATTTGCAGCTGGCGAGGGAGCCCTTGGTTCCAGAAAGTGACAAGGCTGAAGAAGACAGCGAGGATGAGGAGGGGGAGGAGGACTCCTCGGACTCTGACTTTCCAGGGGAACTGTCTGGGTTTTGTAGGACTTCGTATCCCGTCTACAGTTCCATAGAAGCTGCGGAGCTGGCAGAAAGGATTGAGCGCAGGGAGCAAATCATCCAGGAAATATGGATGAACAGTGGTTTGGACACTTCACTCCCAAGAAATTTGGGCCAGTTCTATTGAAAAAGAGATGCGTCTGGATGCGACCACACTTTGTGAAGAGGGAAGGATCCCAAATGCCCCTCTGGTTCTGTTTCACTTGTACCTTCTATGAAGGAATATTTGTCATGTCATCCAATACTGGTGAAGCCAGAAGCTATTAAAGGGACATTTCACACTGTTTACAGCACATTTCAAAATAAATTGGGAGGGAAGTCTTTGTTTTCTCTATTTATTTAAATTTATTGTTATACATGAATATAGAATGCCCGTTTATTGAGTGCTTGGAATGCCAGGCACTGCTCTAGCTGCTTCTCATGTAGTAAGTCCTTTACTACACCCCCCCCACACACACACACACACAGCTTCACGAGACAGGGCCATCATCCCACATGACAGATGAGTAAACAGGAGGTCCCTCTACTTCCATTAAAAAAAATTGAATTGATACACAGGACAGCGAGCTTGAATCCTTCCACTATGTGTTCACTGGCGGTGGATTTTAATCACTAACAATGCTCTTTGTTTAGGACGGGATCAGCAAAGTTTCTCTTTAAGGGCAAGATAACATTTTAGGCATTGTGGTTCGTGCCATGACTACACAACTCCGCCACCGAAGCTCACAGGTAGCCATTCGTAGCTAATACACCATGAATGAATGTAGCTGTGTTTCAATAAAGCTTTATTTAGAGACACCAAAATTTCTAATTTGATTTCATTTTCACGTGTCACATATTATTCTTTTTTTTTTTATCAATCACTTTAAAATATAAAAACCTTCCCTAGCTCACAATATAAATACCTTTCCTAGCAGGCATTTGCCTGATGTTGTAAATAAAATATGGTCCCCAAGGCCTAAAATATGTACTCACTTGCCCTTGAGAGGAAAAGCTTGCAAATTCCTGATTTAGAATTTAGAGCTGCAGAGCTTCCAGTGGCCAAAGTGGTCAGTCAGCTGACCCAGCAACCCTTTGATCTCCTGGAGTTACCTTTCAAATCCTTGCAGGGGAGCAGAAGAAAAAAAAGGTGAGGAAACAGATTCCTGATGGGAGAAGTGGGGAGGGGCTCCTTTGGACAGCTCCCCCTGGTGGACAGGAAACTGTGGATTGGAATAAGATTTTTTTCTTTTTTGTCCCAGTGGGGCTGAGAGTATAAAAATGATGCTGTTTTATCCATCTCCTATGCCCTCTATGAACGAGCTCTCTGCCTTGTCTTACGTCATCATCACATCCACCCGGCAAGCTGGCATCTGCAGATGAGGAAGCTGAAAGCTGGCAGGTTAGTCCTGGGGGCCCAGTTCACATGGTAGAAAGTGCTGGAATGGACCTAGTGATGAGGTGATCAGGGAATACTAGCTGTCCCTTCAGGAACCCAAGCAATGCTGGGTACAGAGAAGGCATTTTTCTCTCAGTCGCCCAGGGCCTGAGGGTGAAGAGCCCATCCGAGGAACGCAGGAAAGGGTGGGTGTGGAGTCATCCGCCAGCCCCGATGCCTGCACTGAGGACAGGTCTGCAGTCTTGTTTAGATTTTTTTATTGTTGTTTAGATTTTTTTCATCCAGTTTGTCTTCATTCATTTGAGCTGCTGCAACAGAAATCCCAACTGCGTGGCTTATAAACAACAGAAACCTATTCCTCAGGGTTCTGGAGGTTTGAAGTCCAAGATCAAAGTGCAGGTAGACACGGTGTCTGGTGAGAGCTGGCTTCCTAGTTCACTGTGTCCTCACAGCGCCGAAGAGGTGAGGGAGCTCCCTGAAGCCTTTCTAATAAGGGACCTGAGCCCACTCATGAGAGTTCCACCCTCATGGCCTAAGCATCTCCCGAAGGTTCCTCCCCTACATACCATCGCATTAGGATTTGACATGCGAGTTTTGGGAGGATGCAAGCATTTAGTCTGTAGCACAGTCGACATTCCCATAACATAAAAGTCACCATTTTAAAGCGCACAGTCCATGTGTGGCATTTGGCACGGGCAGGATGCTGTGCGACCACCAGCTGTTACTCCAAAATAGTTTCAGCCCCTGAAAATAAAACCCCCTACCCTAAGCCGTCACTCTTCATCCCTCCCTCCCTCCAGCCCTCCAGCAGCTACCAATCTGCCTTTCGTGTGGATTTACACATTTTGGAAAGTTCATAAAAATGGAATCACATAAGGTGTAGCCTTTTGCGACTGGCTTCTTCCACTTAGCATCGTGTCTTCAAGGATCACCCATGTGTATCAGGGCTCCAAGCCTTTTTATGGCCAAAGAATATTGCATTGTATGAAAAGACCATGTTCTGGGTGTTCATTCGTCTGTTGGTGGACATCTGGGTGGTTTCCACTCTTGGCTACCGTGGCTACGTTTCCGCAAACGCCTGTGTGCTGTATTTTAATAGCAGTGAGACCACATACAAATCGAGGACTGCAGACTTGTTGAGAAATCCTATGGTTTCCACTCCACAGAGGGAAGGGAGAGGGAAGGCGGGTCCGAGTGACATCCCCTCCCTTACCCCCTACTTCTGCTGTTTCAAACTGACCCTCCCAACACTGACCCCCGAAAAGGCTGAAAGGTAGGGATATTGGCCAAGAGAGGTGTCCTCCAGACACGCCAGCCTGGTTTGGCCACAGGCTGAAACTCCTCTAACCCTAACCCTAACCCCTAACCCTAACCCTAAACTTAATCCTAGGGTTACTAAGGTTACTCAGTTACTTCCAGGTAACTGAGTCCTCTGTAATGTAGGGTCCTGGGAGAATTTGACGGAGCCTGGGAATGACAGGTCTTAAATCTGGCATAAGAGATAAATCTCTTCTAGGTCACAGCAGAGAATGAAGTGAACACATGGCCTCATTGTTTAACTTTTTCATGAGGATTTTGTTCTGATCAAAGGGAACCCTTGTCTTTTCATTTCCCTGAGCCCAGCAAGGAGCACTGTGGTCTGGTCCCAGCTCCTAGAGCAGCCTGTCCCCATTGTCTCCATATCCAGCTTTCAAGCAGCATGTCCTCTCTGGCCCCATTGACACCAGTCCTGTCCATCTGATGACTGTCTTCTTGGGGCCGTAGAGAACATGGCAGCTGAAGGGTTTCACTTGACCAGTCAGAGAAAGTGCTTTGCCCACATGGACCTCAGTCGTAAAGTTGAATGTCACAGTCAGGTTTTCCGTTATCTGAGTCTTCCCTGACTCCCAACCCCCATCCTTGACCCACTCCCTGCACACTCCTCCCAAGACCCCTGAGGGGGGAGTAGGAGGACAGGCCCACCAAGGCGAGGGCCAGTCTTTGGCCTGTGCAAATGTAATGAGCTGTTTATTTGCATTTTCTGAGCCTCAAAGAAGAATGCCACGTTCTTCTCACGGACAGAGCCTGAAGGATCCTGCTGAGAATGTGTTTGGATGGGCACGGAGCCCGGGAGGAAGAGGACCAAACCAGATTTGGATGAAGGGTTGCTGATGGAGCGTGGTGGCTGGAGGAAGCTCCGGGGTGGCAGTCCACCCAGGGAGTGTGGGGTGCACGCGGCTGCTGCTCCTCCTCGGCTTTATGCATCTCTGGGCAACAGACACCCCTCTCTTTCTAAGCTGTGGGGTCCTGGAAGTCCCATGACAAGCAGCCAGGCCTCGGCAGGAGGGTTGTGCATGCCACTACCTCGGTTACTCGCTGTAAACCTGTAAACGCCGACTCTCCAGACATGAGCTGCCTGCTGGGAAATTCGGCCCTTCTGGATTGAGTGAGCTTGTTTGTTAGAGGGGCTGCTGGTACTGTGGGGAAGCCGAGCACTCGGGGCCACTTTAGGGAGAAGCAGCACACACCCTGGCCCCAAGCAGGCACTGGGAAGCCCGAAACCTGCCCCACTGCTTATCCCACAACCGTGCAGTGCATGATGCTGTGTCCTGGCCAGATCCCTGGCGGCTACAGGGCAGCTGCAGATGGCCCAGGCCTGGCCCTTTCCTGCAGAGTTGGCCCTCGTCGTCTGGGTCTTGGTCTGCTCAGGCTGCTGTGACAAAATGCCGGGGACAGGCAGCTTAGAAATGACAGAGATGTCTTTCTCAAGGTTCTGAAGGCTAGCAGTCCAGGCCGGGGTGCCAGCACGGTGGGGTGGGGGCCCTCTCCCTGGCTCACGGCCGGCATCTTCGCATCTTCTCCCATGGTGGAAGGCACAGGGCAGCTCCCTGGAGCCTTGCTCATAAGGGCACTAATCCCATTTGTGAGCGCTCTAGCCTCAGGGCCTGATCACCACCTAAAGGCCTCACCTCCTAACACCATGATATTTGGGGTTAGGATTTCTGCATATGAATTTTGGTGGTGGGGGGGACACAATCATTCTCAACAGAGTGATTTTCTTTCTTTCTTTCTTACTTTTTTCTTTATTTTTTAAAATAGACTTCATTCTTTTTTTAAAAAAGATTTTATTTATTTATTCATGAGGGACAGAGAGAGAAGCAGAGACATAGACAGAGGGAGATGCAGGCTCCTCGTGGGAAGCGCAATGTGGGACTCGATCCCTGGACCCAGATCACGCCCTGAGCCAAAGGCAGGCGCTCAAAACACCTGGTTGGCTCAGTCAGAAGGGAAAGTGACTCTTGATCTCTGGGTCTTGGGTTTGAGCCTCATGTTGGGTGTAGAGATTACTAAAAAAACAAAACAAAACAAAACAACTTTGGGGCAGCCTGGGTGGCTCAGCAGTTTGGTGCCACCTTTGGCCTGGGGCGTGATCCTGGAGACCTGGGATCAAGTCCCACGTCAGGCTCCCTGCATGGAGCCTGCTTCTCCCTCTGCCTGTGTCTCTGCCTCTCTCTCTGTGTCTCTCATAAATAAATAAATAAATAAATAAATAAATAAATAAATAAATAAATAAAATCTTAAAAAAAAAACAACAAAGGCAGGCACTCAACCACTGAGCCACCCAGGGGTCCCACTTTATTTCTTTTTTAGATTGTTATTTATTTATTTGAAAGATGGGGGGAGCATAAAGAGGGAGAGTGGCAGAGGCAGAGGGAGAAGCAGACTCCTGGCTGAGCAGGGAACCCAACGTGGGGCTCGATCCCAGGGCCCTGAAATTACGACCTGAGCCACAGGCAGACACTTAACCCACAGAGCCACCCAGGGGCCCCTGAACAAAGTGATTTCCCACCAGAATTCCTCCTTCGAGCACTCCTTCACCAAAATCACCTATGCAAGAACCTCCATCTCAGGAAACTGCCCCGCCACCCAGGGTGAGGGTCTGTGGACCTGGGCCCACGTCCCG